GAGATGTATCTGACACACTGGACACCCCACGGGAGTCCAGAATAGGGTCGATCGCCACATTAAAGTCACCGAGAACCAAATGATGGGAGTCTTGATCAAATTCAGCTGGGAGAGATCGGTAGAAGTGGGAGCGCTCCGATGCATTTACGGGGGCGTAAATGTTGTGGATGCATGCAGTTGTCCCCGCGTAGACCAGTCGAATCAGAAGGTAACGTCCAGGAATAGTAGCTCGCCTGACCTCTTCCGCTGACCCAACACCCGGTAGGTCGGGATGCAAAGTGTCGCGACGACGCCACTTCGAGGCCCTACTTGAACATGGCTGGAGCTGTTGCGGTCACTGATAAATAAACGATGGCCGGAGGCTGAAAACAGATAAATTGAAACTTGGACAGATGATGGACATCGCGGAACTTGGTTTCCTGAACGCCGACGATGTGATACTGGGAGATCACCTTCTCGATGAACTTCCTACCATTGCGCTTAATGCCGTTAGTATAACGGACAACAGCGCAGCGTCGTTCCAAACCGTCACCACCTATGGTGACACCATGGGGACCCCGCTGACCCAGTTGGGTCTCTGCAAGGCGCAGCACACTACTTTCCCAGGGAAGCCATTCGGAAGCCGCCTGTAACGCGCGAATGCGGTCGACACAGGGGTCGTTCAATGCCATGTACTCCATGTGAGACATGACCCTATGACCAACTTGGCTCCGCAGCAAGCCGAGTAGAGCATTAGGATGGAGTAGGCGCGTCGATGCGCCTCCGATCCACGGGGAAGAAAATCCGCAAATAAGGTGGAGCCACTGTCGTTTACGTAGACTCCAGGAGCCGTGTCCATAACCAGTAGCTCAAAAAGAGCTAACGCCTCCGAGATTCCATAAAGATCGAAGTCCGTAGAGTCTAGTAGCCATTTATCTGCCACTTTAAAGAGCTCTGCTCGAGACCTGGGGCACTGGTCTTCGAAATGTTGCACCAATTTTTCAGCGATAGACGCGCAGGTATCAGCCGCTACCGCCGCCACCGACCGAGAGATCAGGTGAAGGCGGATGAAGTCATTCAACAGCGGGCTTTTCGTCCGCATCGATCGAAAAAGCTTGCCTAGAAAGCGGATGTTGCTCCTGCTCATACTGCGCCGCAGATCATCAGTGATAACCGCACTCTCCTCGCCTCGAGAAGGAACGAAATCCTCAGATGCTATCGGTTCTGCCAGTTCTCGCTCATGGGGCGATTGCTGCAGCACGATGTCGTCATTGAGAAAGTTAAGAGTGACGCAGGCGCCTTCGCGCGACGTACCTTGCCTTTTCGCACTTCTGTGAGGTGCGTAAATTCGGTTGATGTACTGCTTGACTCCGGAGAAGAAATCGACTAAACGGTTACACGAAGGCTATCGTCTTCTTCTCCGACAGTCAAAGTCTGTGCGAAGAGTTCAAAAGAGAACTTGTCCAGTTCTTCCCAGTAATTAGTCGACGTAAAGGCTGGTGGCTGCAATACGGTCACCGTCGACTGGCGCCGAGCCAGACGCTTGCGTGGCGGCGATGCAAACGCCGAGCTAGGCGACAGATCAACAATGCTTTCTCCGGCTCCCCTCTTAGAAGCTGACTTGTCCGCGTGGGAATCGGTAGTAACTACCTTCGAAGTACTCACCATGTACTCGGAGATCACCGACGCCGAAACTGACGAATCCGCCGCACCTTGACACCGCTTCTCGCCTCGAGAAGCGGGTGCGTCCGCGCCGCCGTCTTGGGCACTGTGGGTAGGAAGGCTGAACTCCAGAGAGTGTTGAGACAGTTTGGTCGGGGTCAGGTGTACTGGGTAG